TTGCTCTGCAGACTACACACATGATGCAGGAAAGGGCAGGTCCAAGGTGGTTCCACAGCAGCCACCAAGCCCTGTCCTTCACGGCCCCCTTTGATAGGAAGCACAGAATGCTGGACAATATGGAATTGTCTGCCAGGTTTGGGTGTGACCATCAGAAGCCTCAGCCCAACACCTCTTCCAGCACACTCTTTCCTTTCCTCTGTTCTACCCAGGACAAGGGCAGCTCCTCGCTGATCCCACAGCCCAGGAACCCCAATCACAGGCCCAGAACAGGAGGCTCACACACACCAAGCAGCCTCCTCAACCCTAAACATCCTCCCACATGGGATCAAGAAAAGTCAGAGCCTGCCAAATACTGAATATCTGTGTTGACCAAAGCCATGCTGTTTCCCTTGGCCATACAGAAAAATCTACCAAGCCTTGCTGCGGGCAGATGGGTTTGCTGAACAATTTCACTGCTTCGCTATCAGATAATTGCTTTTTCTGATGATTCCATGTTTTCCAGAGTTTTCCTCTCCTTCAAGGGACAATGCTGCAGGACTCTTATGAGTCCACAAGAAGAAGAGAAGGAGTCTTTGGACCCCAGCCCTGTGTGCCTGCAAAGCCAGGCAGTGGGGGCAGCTGCTTGTGTGCATGGACCAGTTGTGGAGCCACCATTGACACGTATCCCTCTGAGATGTGGGAGAGCCCAAGCCTGGTGACCATGCACAGGGGCTGCAGAGCCATTGCTGGGCTGGAAGGGCCAACCTTCAGCTCTGTCCCAGATGAATCCACAACAGAAACACAGACCTATTGCCTTGGTTGTCCAAGTTGGCCAGTGACATCTTTTGCTATGACACAGCCCTTCTGAGCTGCCAGCTAAATGCAGAGGGAAGCCGGCTCTCCGAGAGGACCAGCACACACCAGGCTGGATTTGCCATGGGAAGAATTTGGAAGGAATACTTGAAGACCATTGCCTGAGTCAGGCCAGGCATCTGGATGGCTCCCAGCAACTCTGCCCTTAGGTCACTTTACAATCAACACGGTGAGCTGTTAGAAGAATTCATTCATTATTGGTGTCTCAACACCCCTGGACCACAGCAGCTAAAAAATCTATATGAACTAAGGGCTCTTAAAACCCATCTGTGCATTGTTTATTCTCTGCAGGGAAAATAAAGAGAAGGAAATACTGAAAGCAGCGAGACGAAAGTGTTGAGAGTCATGAAATCTATAAAGTGTAAAGAGAGATGTGCCACATTTAGCAGGGATTATGTCAAGCAGCATCCCAAGCTAGGAGTGCTGACAGCACACACACACTGCCTTCGACAAAGGAAAATAGGTCGTACACAACCCCAAACATGCCAGCAGAGCTTCCAGCAGCATGAGCAGAAAACCCAAATTTCAGCACTGCCCACAGGCAAGGTTAATGGTCCTGGAACCTGTGGAGAGTACGAGCCACATGAGAGAGCAGGACCTTTAAAATGTGCCTTGAAAGCCTAAATAAGGTCTCGAGAGGACTTTTATTTGCAACAAGCACAAGGGGAGATGGACAGAACTTTTGCTACCAATCACAGCTCTGGGCAGTTGCTTTTTCACAGCCTCCAGCTCCCATGAGCTTCTCCTCCACAGGGAGCCTGTGTCTCATTTCCCAGCAGCCAGGACATCCTGGCAGCAGCATCCACCCCATGCAGCGGGACAGCTCTCACACAGAGCACTCTGGAAAGAAGACTCACAAAGTAATGGCCTAACACAGTGAATTAATTCCAAAGCACAATTGTTTTCAATCTTCATTTAAAGCCAACCTTACCTAATCTCACTTTAACGACATAGGAAATGGAAATTCCCTTAATAATATAAGTTATGAATATTTATTACCCTATTTGTTACCTGAAAATGGAGTAATTCAATTAATTTTACTATTAATTATTTAATACAGAATTAATATACTGCAAGATCCTAACTTTTCTTTACAATGCTGCTGATAAAGATATCCCAGACAGGGGATGTTCCTTATGCTGGATTGATGGACAGGTAAGGCACAGGGTGTGCTTCCAGGGCAATGGGCACCTGGGCAGGAGGTGGGAAGGCTCCAGGGACTGAAGCCATCCTGCTCTCACCATGGAGAAGGGCTGCTTCCCCTAGCAATCCCCCTGTGTCCTTTCCAAGATATGAAGCAGAGGGGCAGAAACACATCTGAACTGCATTCCCAGATGGAAAACCGACCTTGCAGCTTCTGGGCACAGCCAAGGCTTTTCCATTGCCCACTTGTGAAAGAGTGAATTCACCTCGGATTGCTCAAGAATATTTTTTAAATACTGTACAAATGCTAATGGCAGAAGGCACCTGGCAACAGAGAAGCAAAGTATCTTCCTCTGGCAGAATGCTTCTGGACTCAGAAAATTGACTTTGTCATTGAAATTCCAAAGTAAATAACAATTAAGTTCTACTTGATATATAAATGTCAAGTAATTTTTTTTTTGTCATCGTGATTTGCATTTAAACTTGGAAATGTCAGACACTTGGCCCTGCTGCATTAGCAGAACGCTTCCCCCGCCCCGCTGACGGAACACCCGCTGCGGATTACCCAGCACATCATCAAGTAACCAAACACCATTCCAAGGGAGCCTCAAGGTCGATGCTTGCGAGGTGTACTCGCTAATTTATGTTGATCAACTGGAGTGCTCAAAAGACTATTGTAATAATGCTCCAGTACATTTATATCAGTGTATTCAATCAATTGGAGTCGTTCAACAAGAAGTTTCATAAAAAAGTAATTTTTTCCAAAGGTTTGTCATAGCTCCTTCAATGCCACCACAATGGCCAGAGGGCCTCCCCTCCATGTCCATGACTAAAGCAATACCCAACTGTGCTGTAAACACGGGAACCTCTGTTTGGGAAAGAGATGAAAACATTCAGAACACCAAGCTCAGCTCCAAAGCAGCTCTACACCAGCTCGTCCCTCACTGCCACCCTCTGCCTTAGCTCAGTGATCTGTGAGGCATCACAGCCCAGCCTGGCCTGACCCTCTGCAGCAGTTCCTTTGCTGGTGCCTGAGCTCCACAGCACCAAAACCCCGTCACCAATATCAACCCTCTGCCGATAGCTGCAGCAGCAGCAGCTCCCACACGCACCCGGAGCCCCCACGGCACCCATCCAGCAGTGACTCCTCACAGCACACTATACATCATCGTATTAGGAAACTCTGTGTGTGTCAGTGGTGCAATTAATTCTTATTAATTTTGTGAGATGAAATTAGTAGCACCCACAGCAGCAAACAAAGAACAGGGGAGTGTTCCAGTTCAGTGCCAAATCAATGTCATTAATTCTGTAATACTGGGAGCCCTGATTGTAGCAACTCAGCATTTAACTCTTCCCATTAATTTTTATATTGAAAAAAAAAAAAATAGAAAACTAACTCAACAATTTCAAAAGGACCTTGAACTTATGTCACAACTTCCCTTCTCGTGGGATTCTTTCTTCCAAGTGTAAACACACAAGAGGAAGGTAAGGAAATGTTCATCAGAAAATTATTTTCATGCATTGCCTTTAGCAAACCAAGCTCTTAAGATCAGAGGATGCTGCCACAAAAACATTTATAATCTCGTATCTTTAATGACAGCATGTAGTTAATGTGTTTTCTGACCCTTTAAAAGGCTTCTCTGGCAAAGGCTCAGCCAGAAATTGTTTTGAATTAATTCTGAAACTGGATTACCAACCCAGAAAAAAGCATTGCTAATAGTAACTGAATTACCTGCTCTTCTGCAGCCAAGGAGAGCCTCACAGCTGCCACCAGCAGGAAAGATCTATCCAGGGACCTTCCACCACCGTGACAATTCCAGGTCTTGGAGAACCACTGAGAAAGCAATTGGGTTTCCCACATCTCCTTCCCAGGTGCTACACGTTTTAATACAACAAACAAATGCATTACTTACCAATGTCACAAAATAAACAGTCTGGGGGGGAAAGCCCACAAAAGTAAAACAACAAAACAACACAGCTCTTTTGTTCCCATATTTCATGGAAAGCAGGTCCTCTGTGTGCCCCACCTGCAGCTGCACTGCAGAGGTGCAGAGAAGGCCTCCACGTCCATCCTCTCCTCAGCTGGGTGCTGTGGAACACCTGGAATTAATCTGTGCTGTTCGTTAGGGTGGCACTGCTGCCTGTGTCCCACTGTGACATGGCAGCAGGAGGTGATGCCAAACCTGGAGCACGCTGCTCCGGGCGCCTGCAGCACCGGCCCCTGCAACGGATGATGCTGGGATGCAGGATGCTAGAATAGGCTTTTCTCTCACCTGGCTCCCAGCAGGCTCCTTCCAATGGCCCAGCCCGCTGCAATAGGAAAGGGGTGGATTGGGAAGAAGAAAGACAGCAAAAGCCCAGCAAGACCAGAAAGCAAGAGTTGTTCTCTGCGTTAGTGAGACGTATGGAGCCAGAACATAGCTGAAACAGCAGGAAAACATCCACAGCCAAAACTCCATGTCTGGGTTCCCAGGGGAGCGAGAAGTTAAACATTTATGGCAGCACGAAGAAGACATGACATTTACTGAATAATAAACTGCAAACATGTCTGTTAATGCAGCTTTTTGGGACCTCCTCACCATCAAACACTTAACCCCAGCAAGGGAAACACCAGAATGCAAACAATTCCCGTGCCTGTCTGTGAGCAGGCAGAACATGGTGGGGCTGGTGCTTTTTTTATTTATTTAAAGTTAGAGGCAAGGGAGCTCTGTCAAGATAAACAGCCCACAACCTTGCTCAGAGGCTTCAGATCCGCTCATCTGAAGGGATACAATTAAATCCTGAGCAATCGGGTTAAAACTTTAACCTGCCAAGACTGTAGCTGTTCCATTTTTAATCAATCTGATTTCATTCAATAAAATGCTCATTAAGGCAATTAATGAGAGTTTGGTGTCACAAGCCATCAGGCATGACTGGGAGTTTCCACTTGGTGGTCAAGGCATTGATCAGTGAGTCAAGTCATCAGCGCGAGAGAGTCAATGTGCTGAGCAGGAGAACATTACCTGGTTTTGGGGGAGGTTGTTAGCCACTCCTCATGCTTTTCAAACGTTATTAAATAAGCTGCAATTTCCTGAAAGAGAAACGCAGAAAGAAAACAGAGTTACTTGCATGGCTGTGCTGGGAACTGGAAAGTTTTACAACAGAGACACGGAGCCGCCTACCCCGGGGCCAGGCTGCAGCTGAAATTGGGTTTTGACTGACAGAGCGCGCTCAGTAAACGTTCACATCCACACCACCAAGGCCAGGCTTAAACAGGACAATGAAGAGATGCAAATGAGGAAAGGCATTAACATTTTCCAGCACAGAGAATTTGCTGGTAACTGTGGTGACCACGGCATCGCCGCGAGCCCAGTGTGACGTCAGGAAGCAAAGGGGAGGGTAGCGACAATACGGACACGGGGAGCTAAATAAAATATTTATAAATAGAACAGCATCACTGCAGAGAGAATTACTGAATTATTAATCGTTGCCATAAAAAGCCAGCGGGTGACATCAACGTAAGTCATTGCTCCCACTTGCAGGAATGATACGGGCGATTACTTCCAGATCAGAACTGATTTGTTTGCAGGAAATTATCGGCGGCAGCGAGATAATTCACGACAGTGCCTGTAAACAGGCCTGAGGAACACGGGACAGACGTTCATCCATTGCCTGGTACAAAACCAGGGTGGTCGCAAGGTGGCAACGGTCACCACACCAGCAGTGTCCTGATATCTAGAGATGGCCATGGACTCCTGGGATTGTGCTGAAAATAAGCCCCCTGCGATATACTCAGAAGCGTGTAGGGTTTTGATGATTATCTTCCAAAAATTACCTCCCAGCCCTCTCAGAGGGGCCTGCATAGCAAAAGCTGAACAAGTGAGGTCAGTGAAACTGCCTTCAATGTACAAATGCCTCAAATAGACCCTCAAACCACATGCAGTATCATCTCCAGAGGCACTGCAGCAGAAGTGTCCCCAGGCTGTACCTCCCAACAGCACAACACACACCAGCGCCAGGGCTTTCCACCAGGAGAGGGGTTTTTATTATTTTTTTTTTTAGCTAGCTCTATATAAGGGCTGTCGCTTACAGTACCAAAGCTAAAAACCCCCACAATGCTCTCCAACCAGCTGGCCCAAGCATCTGCTAGAGCCACAAAATGCAATTATATTACTCCCAAACGAGACGTAAAAATATCTTGTTTCCAATACTCTTGGTTTTAAGACTTATACTTAATGTCCTCTGGGCATTGTGGCGGTGCCAGATCTCCGTGTTATGTACTTTATTAGAGCTGTGTGAATGTCATATTAATGACTCCTGACCAACATGTTTACACTGCAAATAAATTCTCCTGGAATCCATCGACGCACCCCTTGTTTCCCAAGCCAGTCTCTGCAGGTTTAAGGGATCCCCATACACGCACATGACAGAGCAGCGGCATGAAGCTCCAAAAACTCCTCTTTTTAATTTCTGGCTAATGGCTAATGCCTAAATAAAATTCAGCATCAAAGAAAGCCAGTGCAGACCTCCACCACCGACACTGATGACCTTCCCAATCCTCACAGTTTCACAGCAGCTGCACCTGAATCTGATGCAAGTGCTGAAATCTGGAAGCTACATGGCCAAAAAGGTCTGACCCCAGATTTCCAACAGGCTAAAACCACCAAAGAACTCTGTAACTAAAATTCTTCAGAAAATATGAAAAAAGATCTCTGGGGTTTTTTAAAGCCAGTGCAGTAATTCCACCAAAAGTGCTGCAATCAGCAGAGCTCTATTTCCAACCCATCCCACATTATGTGTCCTCAGCTCACTATGCTACAAACCAGTGTCACCTCATGCTGTACAGTGAGATGAGCTCTGGAGAGATTGAGGAACACTCAGGAGCTCCCTGCACATCCTCCCCAGTGCCAGGCAAGCAAGCATTTACAGAAACAAACCCCTTCAATGCCAAGGCAACTAAGGGGGTTCAGATTAGTCTGGGATTTTGCCTATTCCTACTAAAATTTAACTGCTGTAAGGAGAATTAAGCCATTTTTCTCTTTTGTGATGAACAAATACATTGCTATGGCATAAAAAACCAAACTATTTCAAGTGAAGGAACTCAGCCTTACCAAGGGCTCATTCACTCTGCTCTTTCCTGCCAGCCCATGCCAGGCACATGTGAAAACCTAATCCCAAATTGTCACCAGCTGGAGAAGCTGCAGCAATGAGAGGCTCCCATGAGTCAGAACATGGGTTTCCACTCTGCTGGCCTGGCTCTCTCATGTTTGGGCAGAGGAAAGGCCAAGCTGCCTGTCAGTGCCACAGATACACATTGGGGAAGGAGGATGTGTTTCTTCCTTCAACCCCATTCCTTATATCTTCTGCTTTCTCTGACTACAGCTTTATGTCAGCTCTGCAGAGGAAAGTGCTCAGCACTGGTGGTTGATCAGAGGTTTGCATGAGATGCCTCTGCCCAGTGGCTCCCTGTCTACATGGTGGGGCACAGGCAGGGCTGCTGAGGCAGGGCTGGGGTTCAGCAGCTGCATGGGCTGAGTACCCTGCTGTCACACCAGCACCCTTTTTCCCTTTGAAAAAAGAGGGAAGAAATAGATTTATCACCAGAAGACACAAAGTCGTTAAATAATTAAAAACAAAACTATGGCCACAATAAAAGCCCTCTGATAAAACCCTGCATTTTAATGCGTGTTAATTCCCCTAATGATTCTTTCTGTGTCTCACAGGGTCAAATCAATGTCCTCACAAAAAAATCCAATTATATCCCATTCATCGTATCTTTGGAGCAAGGCTATTGTTTGCTTTTGTCTCCTATCAAACCCTTTTCCCGTTGCTTCTTGCCTGAACTACAAACGAAAGGCAGCATGGCACCAGCAAGGTCAGACGAGACAGAGCTGGCTCTGAAACCCCAGCTGGTCCTGGCTCCACAGTGATTGCACAGCAAGTGATGGAAATCAAGGGACGCCTGAACGTGACACAAACGCTCAGTCTCGCCACCAGAGTCCCCCTGCAGCACCAGCCAGCCCAGGTGGCACTAGGTGGATCTGAGGGTGACCCAAGTTTATCTCCATGGGGAAGGGCATCACACACCATGGGCAGCAGCCCCTGCGCCAGGATGTCCCACCCAGACCCACACCCGCTCTCTCCCAGCTTTGAAATCACTGTCAGCATAAAGTCAGTGAGCATTGCTGGGAAAGGGTGAACCTCTGAAAGCTGTGTGGATCCAGCTCCACTTCCAAGTGTGTCAGCCAATCCCAGGGCAATGCTCAGCATGTGGCTTTCCCTCTCTGAGTGCCCACAGGACTGAGCTCACCACTCACACTGGTGAGAACAGGCTTGACTGACCATCTCAGGAAATCACCCCATAAAGCAATGAGATTATTTAACATTTAAATCACTCGAGCTGCGTTTTATCCCAAACTTGGTCAGATAATTCTGTGGTTCAGCTTAGACTTGGTTGCTCAGGCTGAAAGCATTTTATCTAGGTGTGCATTTATTTTTATTTTGCACTTTCCAGTTTGTTTAGATTATTAGTGTGAATGCACTGGGGAGCCACCAGCTGGGAAGCCCAAAGAGCGGTGTGAGACAGGACACAAGCAGCTCCACCGTCTCCAGACAACCACCACCAAGGATGTTCCCACTGCCCCCTCAGCCTCGTGCCAGTGTGGCACCACTCAGCATGGTGTTCCCAGCTCAGGCCTGGTGGCAGAGCCACAACACACTCCCCACCCAATGCTACGTGACTGCAGCTCCTCAGACACTTCAATATTTAATGTCAGCACATGATGCCCAGAGCTGTGGCACATGGGCGACCTGATCTCACCCGCCATGTCCCAGCCGCCGCGGTGAGGACGAGTGGCAGTGCCGCAGCCAGTGGTGCAGGGACAGGGACAGCAGGGAGGAAGAAGCTCCCTCAGCGCACTCAGTGCTGCCCAGCAGCTGCTGCTGCAGAGCTGATTGTCTTCATGCATAGGAGCCAGAGAGGACATGGCCACAAAGCACAGGACAGACTGACGGGCAGGGATCCAGCGGTGTCAGAGAGGGCCATGACCTGTCCTGCACAGGAAGGTGCCAACTCTGCTCTGAGCTGAAGCGTTTCCAGTGAACACACACATTTTTTGGAAGAGTAAGTTCTAAAAAACACTGAAACAGACAATTAATGGGTTCTCTCTAAAGCCATGGATTGAGTGTTGGCTCCTTCCTCTCAGCTCAACCCCCTCCAGGTCATCCTGCATCATCACAAGGTATCAGCAATTCCCACCTGATCACTCAAAATAAAAAGAGAAACTGCAAGGGAGAAGGATTGCAGAATTCCCTGGGCCAGGCAGCTCTGGTCATCCTCTGGTCTCAAAGCAACATGTAGCTCATTAAAAGAAAAATAGTCTGAATTTCAAGTTATTATTTTGTATGAATTATACGCACCCAAATGAATAAGCCTGAATCTATGCATATGTTAGGAGAAAGCAGAAGAGTTTGTACTCATCCCTAGACTTAGACCACAAAGCTAATAAAGCTGTGATCTCTTAAGCAAGCACATTTCTTCTCTTAGGAATTCACCATGTCCCCTCTGCTATAAAGACAGCCCATCACTTCCTTATCATCCTTCTGCTCTGAAATGAAAATAAAAATTCATGTTGACTATGGACCATCTTCTCAGCTGGGATTGAGCCTTTTTCATTTCCTACCCATCCGCACTCTAAAAGCCATTAATATTCTGAATATCCCAACCACAAACTGCTTTGAACACCACACAGAGCAGACTCACACCACCTTGTTCAGCATCATGGGAACAAAAATCACAATCCCACTGCATTCGCCCAGTTGTTTGGCCTAAATCAGCAACACTGTCAAAGGGATATTGCTCATGAGCTGGGTGAAACAAGGAGCAGGAGAAAGACAAAGTGAGCCCAAGAGTGTCCAGCAAGGACAGGAGGGTCAGGTAACTGCGGGCTGACCAACACTCCTACACCAGAATGTTTCACTGCCATTTCAGACTTGATTTGGTCTTGAAGTGTTCCCTGTCTGCAACTTCTCAAAGCAGAAACATTGATCTGCCTATGCTGAGGCTGAGAAGGGGATGAAGCTCAGATACTA